CCTTCCTCTCTCTTCTCTTTCCTCCTGTCTCACTCCCTCTGTTCCTTGCAGCGCCGCCGCCATGGATGACCGTCTTCGCCGGCCTCAAGACCCGCGTCCCCGGTGACCTCCCGACCCCACCACCTCGCGCTGACGCCGGGAACGGGATCCCTGGGTCTGGATCCGGCCAGATCTGGCCTCCTTCGCCTTCCTCCCCTTTGTCGGACCGTTGTCCCGTCGTCCACCATCACCGGCGCCGCCGCCATGGCTCGGGATCGAGCTGGGAGCTCGTCCCGCTCGCCCGGGCGCCCGCGTGGGCCTCCTCCTCGCCGGCCTCGGCCCACTGCACTGCGCGGCCCAGCGCCCCGGCCTGCCAACCCTCTCCCCCGACTTGGGCCAAGCCCATGGTGATCTAGCCCTCCATTCCCCGCCCTATGCGCCGCTTATCTAAATCGCGCTTGTTCTATTTTTTTTTCAAAAACTGCCAAGTCCACAGAAACTCATAAAATGTTGCATCCTTTGACCTGCTGTAACTTCTTGTGTGTAGCTTCGATTTGTGCATATAATATGTCAAAATGTTCATTTTGAGATGCTCTACATTTCATTCCATTGCACCATGTTCATTTGAGCTCATCTTGATGCCTGAATCATCATTGCAAGAGTGCTATATAATGTTGTCTGCTGTCTGTTAACAGAACTTGCTCATTTGTCATTTTTGCCATGTTTGATGTGTGCATCTTATGAGGTTGATGTATACATGTGTTTTGAACTATGCCATGCCATCTTTATAGGGGTGCCATCCATGTATTTTTTTGAGTTGTGTAGTGAGTGCATCAAGCTTGTTAAGAAGTATACTTGCTGTTACTGTTTTGCTAGGCTGAATCTGTTATTTCGTGATGCTATGAAAACGTGGTGCTACAAGTCATTCTATGCAGAATCTGGAGATGTTCACTAATGGTGTTTTGTTCTACATGTTATGCTCTATCCATTTCATGCCCCTGGCTGCAATTATATCCTGTTGTAGCTTGTTGTAATCTTGCTCCAAAGTTGCTTAATAAT